AGGAGCCGAGTGGCCTCACTGAATTTTCGTTTTTTCGTGCGTTGCCCATGTTTTGATTTCGATTCGACCCTCTTTTGAAGTGTGATTGATGAGGAAACTAAAAGGTTACTCAACATCGTTGTCCAGAAAACGTAATTTCTCTTTGAAGTTTCTTTTCTTATATTGTTCCCTAAATGTGGGCAGATTAAACTAAAACTGTATTTGCACCTTTTTTTTCAATATTATTAGAGTGACTGAAACTGTGTAGACGGTAGGAGTTAAGACGTAGGTAATCAACCCAAAAAGTTGGGTCCAAGTATTTCGAAAAGTTTTTATGCAGTCAATCATTTTTATAGACGCCTACGCAGCCGTATGTGAAACGAGCACGAGCCGGTGGCAGTAACCAAGCGGCTCCTCCGTCGGACAGCGTCGCTCTGGCATTCCAACAATTACAGTCAGCCAGTCAGGTGGGCACTTTTTTATGAGATCGCCATTATGTTTGCAGTGGTTACTCGAACTCAAGACTCTTCTGAAGATGTTTCAATAGTATATCANTTTTTTATGAGATCGCCATTATGTTTGCAGTGGTTACTCGAACTCAAGACTCTTCTGAGGATGTTTCAACTAGTATATCAAGCGAAAAGGGAGTTGATTTAAGAGGCGGAGTTTTTTTTTATTCGAAGTTCAATCCCATGCTATCCAAAATGCAATTACTGCATTTGATTTTTGTTGGTTTTTCTTCACCTTTGCTGGAGTATGGAACTAGGGTCAAATATATCGCGATTATGACACGAAGGTCCAAGTGGATTCATATTCATGTTCACTATGAGAGAATAGTGCTAAATCCTGAAAATGCGAAAATATCGTCGAAAACAAAGAATGAAACAGTCGGTACGTACCTTGATTTGGCAGCCCATCCCATGGCCCTATTTCGCTATTCCATACTGTCCGGCGATGTTCACAGCTCGATTCTTGTCGGTTGCTGAATGTAAACTCCTTCATTCCCTGAGCTCTTGTTTTTGCAATCCCACGCTTGCCCATCGAGACGACTCAGCGATCGTTCTACCATTGGCATTTAGTAACTATACAGCTGGATGGAGTATATTGTAGGTACGGTATCCCATACCCCTAGAAAGTCCGTTTTCACGACGATATCAAAGCGGTAATCTGAATTCAGCTATAACTAATTCAAACCGTTTTACTCGGGTTGACTCTGCAGTTCAAAGTTATTTTACAAGTTAGTCTCTGAATCCATGTTAAGAAATTTCGTTTCAGTTGGCGAATCCGTTCAACTTCCTTGAGAACTTACCAAAATCAAGCGAAGTCATCAACATTTCTGCTGGTTATCCGGTGGAGGAAGAGGAACAAGAAAACGTCCATGAGGTATTTAAGCATTTCATTTCACTGGCTCTCATGGCTTTTACTGCTCGGAGTTTTATAACGTGCAGAGCAACGCGTTCATGTCGTGTGAAAAGTGTTTTGTTGTTATGAAGAGGCATGTCATTTTCTATTGAATTGTTCGTAACTTCAGTGCTTTATGGATTTCGCAGCGGTAGAGAGCTGTATTAAGAAGTAGGCAGTGATTCTGCAGCAGATTTATCCACCGATCTACATCTTCTCACTGATTTCTTGGCAAAGAATTTTATTATTCACGGTTGAGCCGTTTGCATTCTTGCGTAGTTGTCAGCAATAGTGCCTTGTGGTCAGGTTTTTTTAGGTGGGGATAGGGGGCTGGTCTGCTTTTGATAGCCAGGATAGCGATTGTGTCACTATTGCTGCAAGGTGTGCAGATAGCCAATCGGGCGCATCTCAGGCATCTTTATTTGGTCGGCGTTGAATAATTTGAATCCTAGGCAGTACTTTTGGTTAAAAGTCATGAACATTGAGGTATCTTTCAGGAAATCCAAGCCGGATCGTCTGGAGGCTCATTGGCTGGCGATGCGGCTTCCCCACTTCGTGAAGATGCTGCCACTAGCGGCGGCAGTCCGTCCGTAACATCAACGAATCAACTAAGCGCTTTTATGAATATGGCCACTAATCCGCTGATGTGGAATGCTATGTTGTAAGCATATTTTTGACTTATATTTATTGCGACTTTTGGTTGAGAAAAACTCTGGCTGTCATGTCCTTTCGCTTCGTTTGAGCATACCGTAATAAGGAAAGATGGGAAGATGCGAAGTGCCCATTTATGAATTATTTGAGTTGTTTATGTATGCATCGGGTCACTCTTGGTGAATCGACTCTTATGTGCTTTAAAACATCGTGCATTATTTACCTGACCCACTCTGATCACTTAATCTTTTGGCTTGGTGTATGGGTTGAGCGCAACATTATGACCAGATATCCCTTATTATTGAGAATTTTTTATACTATCGTTGTGTTTCCTGAAGCCCATCTTAGCCTGCCTTCGAAATATTGCTATTTCTGCTCTATTTTAGGGTGAACACATCCACTCATGGCTCAGCTTTTTCCCTGAATGATGGACAGTGCGTTTCAATGCTTATGAAAATGGCTCTTGACCTTGATCTCACTCTGTCATATCACAAAAGAAGGTAAGATTCGCTATTCACAGGATCTCTGTTTTAACGTAAATTTTCACGTACCACCTACTATGTGCAACGAAGTAGGCTCACTATACAGTGCTGTGATTTGGAAAAGTATATTTTGTCAAGACTAGCTCTCTTTTACTCAAGAGATCTGTAAGATCAGTAAGAATTCGAAGCTATATTTCAAAAATCATTTCGTTACATGCGCTACGACACGGCGTTTTGTTATGTGGATGTAGTTGAAAAATGAAAACATCAATCAATGTCGCAATACCACTTTCCCAAGGCCTAATAAAGAAAAAACATCATAAAGCAAAAAGTTCGTTAAAAAATGAGATGGTCGATATCAATAAGCTGGATTTTTTGAGATGCTGGGAGATCGTCCCTTCGATTTGGATATTTTAGATGGAAGACAACACTTTTTACCAAACTTGTAATATTTCTAACCGCCTCTTTGAGTGAAGATTCTAGTTGCCTTTTAATTCAACGATTAAATGTGTTCAGAGGTGATATCGAGCTGTGTTTTGAGAGTAATCGAACAGCAGAGAAAAGCGGTGGGCGAGGCAAGGTTCTCTGTCTATCAGATATGGGCAGAGAGATAAGGTACAGGTGATAACATGCTTCATGCTACTTTGTTTTCTTTTTGGAATTTGACTAACTTCTCATTCCGTTTGTTTTGTTGATGTTTACGCTATCGATTTAGCTATTTTGAGTAGACGTTGCTTTCAGAGTGATCGAGAGAGTGAATGGCACACCAACTGATACTGAAATGTGGACAAAAACCGATTTCAACCAATTTCATTGGGCGATTCGTGGAAAGTGCCAAAAGGTGTTGGTGAAGAGTTAGAATTTTGCGACCGAAGCATCCTTCGTCAGCCTTCACTGATTCGTGCTAATACCATGCTTCATATTTCTTGATTGATTTCTTTCTTTTAAATGTTCATAATATCGAAATATCTCCCCTCACTTTCACGTACTGCCTCCATACCGCCACACCGCGTCCAACGCTTTTAATTCGATACCGTCTGCCTTTGTCCTCCGTTCAACGGACTGCATTCTTCCATTTTTTGTTTCTCTTTCAAAATCCGTCCTTTCCATCCAATTCATGTAGGAAAACTAAATATGGAGTTTTATTGTGATATTCTGATTTTAAGTTGTTTATACTACTGTCTCCATTATCCGGTTCCATGTGATACATAATGTGTATTGATAGGTTTTCCAGTGTCCTCATCACCCCGTGGTTATCATTTCCGGCCTCCGTCCTGCCCGAATTCATGTGTTTGATGGGGTCAATGAAGACTTCCTGAGTGCCGATTGAAGCGGGTCATAGATTACTGTCATCGTCTTTTTTTTCTTTCCCCTCCTTGTCGTAATGTTCCTCATCCATCTTTGCCGTTTTTAGGTGCTGATTATACTGATGACACCCGGCCGACTCTCTTTTATATACGATTTCCTTTGATTTTAGTTTCTGTAACCTATGTATGTATATGAATTTGTTTGTCCGTGTGTCTTTGAGGGATGACATTATCCCATGGAGACTATATACTAAGATGAATAAACTATATTTAAATGTCTGTGTAAATGAGGTCTAGCTGTAGTTCAAGGACTGATTCATATCCGCGTAAGGTAGGGACGACCTGTCGCCTCATGTGGTCACACTGGATGCTTTCATACTCCGACTTGCGTGCCGGCACGCAGGTGGAAACGCAGGTACAACATTGAGTGCGGCGTGCGAGCGGCTATGCGACATTTCCACCTACGTGCCGGCACGCTCGTCGAACTATGAAAGCAGCCACTGAAGCAATCTAAAAGTCCTACGGCCTCTATTGCAGTCTGCATAGTGAGTCACACACAGCTGAACGCTGGAAGTATAGACGAGAAATGGAGCACGAAAATTCAGGTTAGTCAAATCAAATGGTGGCCTAGACGTTTTCTTGGTTGTAACGTCGTTGATTGCTTTCCTGGCGTACTCTTCACTGAATCTTTTCGTTGTTTTAAGCTCTGCCTAGAAGCTGTAGGAGGTATTCAGTTGATGTTTATTACAAATAACTAACTCATTTCATCTTCTCTTATGTGTCGCTATTCACTACCTCTACACATCTTGTCAGCTTTTGTCAGGTTGATCTCAGAATAGATGGTTCTGACAAAAGCTGATAAGGTAGTGAAGAGTGAAAAATAAGTACCAGGGTATGCGGAAAGCATTTGCCGAAAATTTCGCATTAGCCCACGTTTTTTCCCCGCATTTTTTGGAAGCTTTTATAGAGTTTTTATGAAAGGGCATTACCCAAACGTATACGCATGACGTATCCTGCTACCTACTTCTTGCTTATTTCATCATATAATAATCGAAGTATCTGCCCATATTCAACATGTGCTCCTTTACGAGTTTGAATCCAGTCTTTTCGCTGCCGAAGCTCATATCGAACCAACGCTTCATAGCCGCAAGCAAGCAACTCGAACTTGATCCACTCGCTGGTGACTGGCGATATCGCTGGGCGACTAAAGACACTGGCGGAATAGCGTTCATATGATGCATTCATTCTGTACTGTGCTGCCACCTCCAGCTGTTCAAAGACTACAGCGGTCACTAGTCCACGATCTTTGGGAATGGTGAAAAAGCTCTGTCAGTGACTACCACATGAACGGATCGACGATCGCTGGAGTTTCTTGGATGTCTGCATTCAATTGCTATCCCAAAGCCGCACTTTTTACTAGCTGGATCTTGTCGTTAGTGGAGATGAATAGTAAGTACACTACATCAAGCGTACCCCCAATCCTGCTAATGAACACAATGAAACACCGAAATCCCTCGTAAAAGTTGAACCTCAATTTGAAGCCACTGCCTCGCTTCACAACTCTAAATGTTGGCCTTTGGCAGGGCCTCCGGCGAGTTAATAGATACACTGGAGCGTAGACGACTAGACTTCTGTGCAAGACATGGGATCTGAAGCTGTAAGTCGAGCAACGTAGTGGCACACTCGCAAGTGACGCACTACCTACATGCATCATGCACGGTTACAATCCCGGATCGATATCCGCCTAGGCCAACCAAGCCTTCCATCTCTTCAGGATCGGTCAATTGGTAAAAGATTTCTGGGAGCATGAAATCACTGACTTGTACGTCGGTTGGCCACCGCAAGTCATTGTAAAGGTTACATACGCATTCAATACGTCACAAAAATCCTGAGTGGAAGTTGAATGCGGGAACGCACTCTTCAGACGCTCAGATTGGTCAGCGCTCAAAGTCGTTTTTCGTTATTCTTTGAATCGATGGAGATTAAGGCATTTTTGAGGCTGCCTCAGAGCCACCAAGATTGTCGGAAGTTTTGTTGATCAATGTGATGAAGATTTTTTCGTTCTTGAACGCCAACCGTATCATCTCTCGGCCGGCTGCTTCGAATGAAAACAAAGAAAAACAAGGCCAATGTCGCGACCCCGGTCCCTATAGCTGAAATGCATCGGCGGCGGGAGTCAAGGTCACGCCAGAATGTGGGTATTGTAAGGGCCCACACTCCCTCTGGAGGGGTAAGTCGCACTTCAATGCCCTATTG